TCAAACTGCAAATTTACTGTCAGGGAGGACAAACCTGACAGTAGAATCGTAATTTTGGTTTTCCGTTCTACTTTTTACTGTGGCAAATTTAGATTTGCGATAGCGTGGAACAGTGTTTGCCAACTGAAATTAAATTAAGCAAAATTTTATCGGTATTAATTACGGATTTACTAGCGTCTCTGTATCTAATTATATGATTTCTTGTATTGTATTCATATCGGTTGTATTGTATATAAGGTGGTAAGAAATCAGAATAAAGGTAGATATTCACGTGGAAGCTTAGCTGCCGATCACGCTTCAGTTGACTGAGAGCATACCAAAAATCAGACGCTATCGTTATCGCTAACAGTATTATAAATAAAATGTAGCTATTAACTTAATTATTATTGGCTTTACATAAAGAGCTTTTCATTTAACGTTATAAGATACTCAGCAACTAATGGGATAATTTTCCGCTTCTGTAAGTAGGCCAAAAGGTAAAAATAGACTTTTAAAATGTACACTCATAATATTAATTTATTACGGTAATTCAACTATAATAGTCCCAGAACTTTTCTGTATCAAGAAATGACGAACACTACTGACTAATAATTACTACTCCGGAATGCAAGGGTATGCTGTGATAAATCAACCATTTTTAATTTTAAATGATATTCCTAAAGTAGCATTTTACATCTATAAAATGGCAGTTACTGCATAGTTTCTACATGATCCCATACCACACTTGTGTCAAAAATCACGTCGTGATAATACAAGAGCTTTTAAATATTGATCTACTTGCCCGTAAGAGCATCATCTCGTTTGGACTGTATGCGTATACTCGGGAATTCAAATAATCTATGGATAAATCATGCCTTTAGTAAACATTTTTTGCTTCGTGATTGGATATGATGATAAGTGCATGTAATTTTATACAATTAGCATTGGTCAGCCGAGGGCCAATATCGCGTTATGATGCATTTATGTTATGTTGATGTCATTGCATTTGCTGAATTAGTGTAAAATGAAAATATTTCTTACTAGCAAAATCTTTACTTAATTCATGAAACAGTTCTTTGAGCAACAGTAGATTAAATTGATCGGATACTATCAATTATGGATATTAAAATAGACTACATTCATATTTGTATGTCTGCATGATCTGATAGAGATTTCTTTCCATATTGTCAATATTTATCATAAGGATAGCTAGCAGCATGCAGCAATCTAGTACAGAAAACCTACAAAAATAGTACTGCGTGTAGTATAATCCAAACAGTTATCTAATTTCCTTTATACTGGCATACGTATGTATAATTTGGGCGAGGTCATCCTTAACTGTAAGCGAGTATCCATAACCTTCTGAAATGCCTCTTCAAAGCTACTTCTATTAACATATGTTACAAACCCTAAATTATTGGTGTAGTTACTATAGTAACCATGTTTTTCCTTCGATCGTCTTTTGCTGCAACAATACTATGATACTACATGGAGCAACCTACATTCATGCACAATATTATTTTTATTTGAGGCTTAAATCAATAAAACACACTACTAACTCGTTGGCTCTTTCGTACTCTTTGGAATTGATGGCGTAAAGCCAAATCGATCGCAGTAGACCTACATCTCGACAAACCATCGATTCCTTATTAGCCAATAACTAATCCATAAATTGGTAAATGATCCATCTGTCTTTGATGTTTATGACATTATAAGTTGCATTTCAACTGAAGATATCAGTCCAAATAACGTGAGCGAAAGCCTTCTTACAATACATACAATTTTTTTGCTAATTATTATTGGCGTTAGCATTAACTTGCTGTTATCTAGTTAAATAAAATATAAAGGTTTAATACTTATCATCGCTATTGGTATAGTATTTGTGTTAGTCGGAGTGTATTTGTAAAATAAAATTAGTCATCTATTTTGGCCTAATTTGATATTAATTGATGTAAACGGTTCTTCGCTAGCGCCATATCTTAAGCTAGAATCTACTATCGTTTATAGATTGAAGAATAATATTTTTATTAGCATTCATAGATGAAATGTTAGGAGAAGGTTTATTTATTATTAAATTTTCTCAGTAATCGTTTTATTCCTGTGTTTGAAAACGACACGTATGCAAGTAGAGTTGTACCAACAAAGCATACGACTAACAGCATAAACATAACATCCATTTGCTTATAAGTAATCGATCATTGCAAGAAACCTTAAATTTGAATTTTATTTGTCTTAACTTATCGTTGGTATCAAGGACTAACATCGTTTCGATATTTTGATATTATCGAATCAGCGCCACACTTTCATTCACTAACTGTTATTAAATTTTGAAAAGGAAAATATGACCGATGATCAATCTGATCATTCTATGGTTCTTCATCATGTACGGTCTCTATATGAAAAGGGTCAAAAATGTAAGATTGCCTACAATTTGGCGGAAGGACTATCCTGTTATACACAAGCTATAGATGAAATTGAATCATTACCAAATCCTAGTATTGGCATTCATCGCCTTCGGTGCGATATTTATCTCGATATATGTGACATTTACACTTTCCAATATAAATGGAAGAAAGCTAATGAATGGAAGAAAAAAGGACTATCTCTGGCTAATGGACTGCAAGATGAAGTGAGAATAGCTGAATGTTTATATAGACAAAGCGAGATTAAAATAAGGCTATGGAATTTCAATGGAGCACTAGAAGACTGCACAAAAGCATTGGAAATGAAATTAAAATGCCTAGACGAAAATGATGTTCGTCTTGCTGATAGTTATCATCAACTTGGGCGTATCTACTGTGGTCAGAACATGTGCGATGTGGCTCTTTCCATGCATGATAAATCGCTCCAAATTCGATTATTAGTCCTTGGTCATAATCATCTCCATGTTGCTGACTCATATCACGGCATAGGAATTGTCTATAAGAAGCAAGGCAAGTATGATTTGGCTCTTTCTGTTCATGACAAGTCGCTCCAGATTCGATTATCAGTCCTTGGCTACCATCATCCAGATGTTGCGCTAATATATAACAACATTGGAGTTATTTATGATTTGCAAGGCAAGTACGATGAGGCCCTTTCTATGTACAATAAATCACTTTATATTGCCCTACCAGTCTTCGGTGAGAATCATCCTAATGTTAGAAGAACAAGAAATAATATTACTAGGACTCGTCACAAGCAGCAAATACAGTATAATCAGTCTACATCAATGACGAAAAAATTTGTCGATAGTATCGCTAAACTATTTACGCCAAATCAAACTAACAACGCTGCGACGACAGCAAGCAATAATGGCACCGGCAAGAATCCTAATCTTGATATTTTTCAACACGTCCAAGATGAAGGTAAATTTATAATCGAGTTTCAATATAGTAGTAGGATAGATCAGGATAAAAAATGTCTTAGCATAACAATATTCTATATTTTATATCTACAGATTTACAAAAAAAAATATATTACAATGCATATAACAAGGCATTAAATCAAGGTCATTGCTATAATAACTTAATACGAGGCATGTTTATTGGCCCACGCAATGTGGGTAAATCTTCCATTAGAAAAGTATTTACTCAACAAGTATTAGTCAACAATCAATCTCCGACACAAGTGGCTGAGAATTCTGATATTATGGTGGAGACTGAATCATACTGTATTCATAATTTAGAGATTTATGATTGGACTGAGATATTAGACGATAATGTGAAAACAGTGATACAAGAGCTAGCCGAAACAAGCATCGATAGTCAAGCTACTATCAATCAGCAAATAGTCAACATAGATGGGATTGATCAACTTGTTATACCAGATAATCTATCTGAACAAAATTTACAAGAAGACGATGCTTCTGCAAATCAATTTCATACAGAAGAAACAGCCATACCATCCAAAGAAATTGAAATCGAATCAGAGTCTAAGCTTAGCTTACATCAATACTACTGTTCGTCTATTATCAATCAAAATATTGATAGGCGTGATAATAATTTTAATCAATATGTTAAAATATGGGATTTTGGTGGCCATGCTATTTATCATGTTACCTATTATCCATTTATCTCTGCTAACAGTATTTATATTCTTGTGTTCAATATTAATCAAGATATTAATGATAAAGTAAGAACGAGAGAGAACGAATCACTGAATATGACCTATTTACAGGCTATGCAAGAATGGCTTACATCAATCGTAGCTAGTCATACAAGCCAAAGTACAATCAGTGTAAACATCAATGACGAAGATACTGAATATTCATTGCCTATTATTATTCTAGTAGCTTCTCATGGTGATTGTATTGCAAGCGAAGAAGATCGACAAACTCGATTTAATCAATTCGTTAAAACATTATTACTATCTATGCCTTCCTATAAGAATAATATCTACTCTTCTGGCATTATTTTTGATTGCGAACCTGATGATATTAGTCCATCGACACAAGAACAGCGTCGACAATGTTGCCTTCGCTTGCATTATATTATCAAGACATTTGTACAATCATTGCCATTTATTCGTAATCCTATTCCTATTCGATGGTACATTATGGCTACAATATTAAACAAATCTATCCGTTACCATCATAATCATGCGATCTCGGTTGTTATGAATCAAATTCGAGCTTCTCGAGTACATGATATTATGACAATGCAACAAATAGTAACTTTGTCTCAGGAATGTGGATTATATGAAAGTGATGACGAATTAAAAGCAATGCTAATATATCTGCATGATTTAGGAGAAGTAATATACTGTGATAAAGTAGGCGATAACGGAATTATTATAACTAACGTCGATTGGTTATTAAATATATTTCGTTCAGTTATTCAATTACAAGATCGTCAAGAAGGAAGTCTACAGATAAAACGTGAATATGAGATAGCCAGCCAAACAGGAAAATTATCAAGAATATACATCGATTATGCTATTAAAAAATTTAATTTAGATGAAACTAGTAAAGAAACCATATTAAAAGTGATGGAAGCTTATGATATTCTTTGCTCTGTTAGAAATGAAAAGGGTAATAATGGAGAGGATTGCCAATATTTTGTTCCATACCTGTTGCATTATGATGTAAAGCCATTTGATTTATCAAAATATCATGTATCAGATTGGCTGTACATTGGATACGCACATATCGATCTTCCATATCTTCCTGATGGAATTTATTATTGTCTGTTATCCTCTTGTTTAAAAGAGTGGAATAACACAAAAGTACAATTATACTATCAATGTGCCAAATATTATTTAGTAGATGATGATTACTATCTTATAGTTAAGAAAGAGAAATCTCACATCGCTTTACAATATTGCTATCAGAAAATAAATCATCCACAAATCGGCAAATCGGTTATTGACAAAGTTAAGAATTCTATATTTCATAACAGACCACAAGATATTGTTAAGAATAAACTAATCTCGATTGTGGATGGTAGGATGGTAAGGCTTAAAGGAGCTTGTTGTCGATTTTACATTAAATGTAGTGAATGTGGTGAAGAGACAAGTATCGCCGATAAATATAACGAAAAAGATATAAATTGGATTCGATGTGAATATTGCAGTATGCAGTTTTCTAGTCAATCTCTTCTCGACTGGATGATTTATAATGAAAAATTATGGATAGGTAAGGATGTGAACACAATTTATAGCTTTTATATTCTTTTTATTATCATTATTACGATTGCAATGTACTATAAGCAAGAGCTCTTCCATTACGCATTCCTTTTACTGTGTTCTTAATAATTAGCACATTTATTTTTACATCGTGATTATCATGACTCTATTTTTGATTATCTTATTTATATATAAAAACATTGATATAAATAAGCAGAATTATGTGCTGAAGTAATTAAAGCAAAGGAAATGTATGCTATCATGTAGGTAATTTAGAAGATTACCTTAATTATCGCTTTGTGTGCTGCACTGGATTAATTATAAAAATTTTCTAATTTATGTATATTTCATGTGACTAAAAACGTATTATAATTTTGTACTATTTCGAGGTGAGAACTTAATCCTGCTGTATTCATTTATGTGTTAAATACTAATGGCTAGATTTTATCCATCATTACTTTGGAGCATATTATATTCTTCTATGTTAGTAAATGAGAACACCGTTTAAAATTAAATGACAGCCAATTCATTCCTCAGCTTTGTACAGGATATAAAACTTACTATAGCATATCTGCATGTATAGGTACCTGCAGAGAAAGAGAGAGAGCTTTTTATAAATTATTTCTAAATATACGTGATACATTTCATTGACATGTTTATGATTTTACAATCTCTTTCTATCAAAGCAACTACAAAACTATTAATCGATTGTTCTTGTTTTATTTTACTTGTTTAGAGCGATGGAAAGATGTAAAAGATAATGGTAAGCTTCTACTAAATTATTATCATTTAATTCTTTCAAAATTGTTTACAGTGATTAATTTTGGAATTATTGAAGTAATATTGAGAGCATATTCTCTATAAGAATTCTACCTTAAGTAAATAAAACTCTTTCATCTAGTCTTTGACATCATTGCATAAAGTTCTGCTAGTTAACGATAACACAAACTAATTTTAGAGAATTGCAAGTAAAATATTCAAACTATTAGTGATCTACTCTGTAAAATAGTCAGTCAACCATGAATAATTTCTTTGATTTAATTTACTTTAAGAATTTTTTGGACAAACTTTTGTAAGAATTCATGATAATAATAAAATTGAATTAACCCAATATTGATTATTAAAAAGACTATACTAGCAAGTAGTATTAGTTCCAGTTTTATTTTGATAAACCCTGCATAAGTAGTATTAAAATTACAGTTGTTCTGAAAAAGAATTGCTCAAGATTAGTATTAGCTTTACATCACAGATCAGATACAACCCTGAAGACTTGAAGTGTGACTAATATTTTAAATTTTATTTCAATATAGAAATGGATACTGTGTACTTCGACATCATAGCTAAGCAACTCCATATAAATGATTTATTTCGTTTAGGAGTCTTGCTGCATTTATCCAGCATAGAAATTGATGAAATTAAATTAAATCGGGAACATAGTCGCTACGATAAGGTGTATAAAGTTCTAATATTGTGGAAAAATAGCGCTGGTCAAAATGCAGATATCTCTGTAGTTATTGCAGCTTTACGTAAGATGAAAATCAATACTATAGCTAACCAAGTCGAAGAAAAAATGGTCGAAAATTGCTAAATATACAAACTTCTCTTGCGGTTTACTAACCGAGACACATTTGTAATTGCAAAATAATAGAGCTCAGAATTAGATCTTGTCAATGTAAAACTCTGATATTTGATATGCTGTAAAGTACACTTTCGAATGCTTCAAATGTTAACGAATAAAATAGAAATTCATAATCAAGTAATATCTACGTTTGTTATTTTCATAGCTACTGGTATTTTAAAATTTATTAACTTTGCAATAATTGATATAACAGGTATTTGAAGTCAAGTTTTAGATGTATGTACTCATATGTAGAATTAACTACATCAGTAGTGGCTAGTTAGCTCGTTCATTTGTCGTTTAATATTGCAATTATTATTCAGCTAATTTAGATAGCACGTAATTTTATTTTCAGTTCACGCGTACAACAGTGAGCTTATAACCAAATTGACTGTGGGTAAAATCTTATGATAATCATAAAAAAAATCGTTACAGGACAAGTAGTTTATCCATGTCTATGAAAAGTAGAAAAACTTTAGAATATTAACGGCATGATATACTGTCAATTTATTATCAATCCTGGATGTAGTTCACTAGATGATAAAATGATCTTATGCTACAGGGCAAGTGTTATAAAGACAGCGGATTGACTTTAAACCTGTTCTACATACTTTTATAGAGCGTACTTGCGTGCAATAAATTTTTAACGTATCCTACTTGGTTTTGCAGTATGTTACTGAAGCAAAATCTTATTGAAGGTAAATTGAAAACTTTCTGTGTAACAACAGCTGATGACTAAAGTATACGCATTTAGAATGACTTATGTAAGTTTTGCTGTCGATAGCCCAATGCTTAAACTTTGATCCAAAGTAATAACAACAGAGACCATGAATAAAAACTCAAATTTGATTAAAAATATGTAAATAAAATATTATAGATAGATCCGAGCGCCCTTACAAGATAACGATGAATTCGTAAAAAGTAATTATTGAATAAATTACCAAAGACCCAATTAAGTAGAAGACTTTTAGTAGAAGCATGAACCATCATTGATTTTCTCCTATATAGGAGGAGCTCTAGATTTAAATACTCACCAATGATTTTGTTTAACAATTATCTGTCGTTCAAGTTACTATGGTAATCTTTACTCGTCAATCATTACTACCTACTCTTTCACTGATATTGACAATAGAGGTAATAGAATAGATGCTGACCATTATTAATTATAGAATAGATGCTGACCATTATTAATATATATATGTTACGTATATATATTAGCATAAAATTAGATCGAAAATAAAATGATATTATAGTCTGGCAATTGTTGTGAAGTACGATATAATTTGGTGTGCATTGCAATACAACTAAGTCTAATTTAATTATCGTTCTTCTAACTTTCCTTAGAGTCTAGAATCGATTCAGTTTTGATATTATAAGCTAGAGTAGCTAATCTCTTTTAATATACCTATTGATTGCTTTTTCTTCACATCAAATTGAAACAGATGGATGAAGATCTATTAACACAGTTTCCGAATGATATACAATCACTTTGCGAAAAGGGCCAAGAATATGTTACTTTTTATAATCTAGAGGAAGCTCTAGTTCACTATAGACAAGCCTTAGATCATATTGAATCGATATCTACTCCTTGCGATAATATTGATCGACTTCGATGTGATATCTATCTTCATATTTGTTATATTTACACGTTAAAAAATCAATGGGAAACAGCTAAATCATACTACGATATAGGGAAATATCTAGCTGACAAACTGCAAGATAAAATCAGAATAGCCCATTATTTAGATAAGCAAGCTTTAATTTTAAGATGGCAAGGTGATTTCGATAAAGCGCTCGAATGCTGTGGCAAATCTCTGGATATAAAAATAAACTACCTAGGTACATACCTCCATACAGATGTTGCTCATTCCTATCATCAACTTGCACGTATTTACGACGATGGCGGCAAATATCAAGAATCGCTGGCTATGATTCGAAAAGCACGAGAAATCCGATTGAAGGTATTGGATGAAAACCATCCCGATATCGCATACTCCTATCATACGGAAGGAATTTTTTATGTGCGGCAAGGCAATTTTAAAAAGGCACTTTCTATGCTAAATATTGCTCACAAAATTCGATTGCGCTTATTCGGTAATCGTCATCTTCTTATAGCGAATTCACTTCAGATAATGGCAGTTTGTCGCTCATATCTTGGCCAGCATAAAGTGGCTTTTACGATGCTAAATAATGTATTATACATTCGATTAGCACTCCTTTCTAAAAATCATGCCCATATTGCGGACACTTATGAGCATATGGGGGATGTTGGTAGCAATAATGGGGACTATCAACAGGCTATTTCTAAATATAACTTGTCACTAGATATGAGACATACAATCTTTCCCCAAAAAAATCATTTTGCTATTGCTCGAGCATATCGCAAATTTGGAAATGTCTATGTCAAACAAGGCCAATACAATCTTGCCAGTGGTATCCTTGAGAAATCACTTCAAATGCAACTATCAACGCTTAATCGCGATCATCCCGAAATTGCAAAGACATTATTTGGTATAGCAAAAATATATATAGATCTAAACAGGTATGAAGACGCTCTTTCGATATATAATAAATCCATGCAAATTCGACCGTCAGCCGTCGATTTCGATTATAGCTTTATTGCTGAATTATATAACGGCCAAGGGGTTATCTATAAGGAACAGGGCAAGTACGATGAGGCACTTTCTATGTTTCACAAGACAATTAAAGCTATCCTACCGGCTTTAGGCGAGAATCATCCCTACGTTAAGATGACTAGAAATCATGTCGCAACAACTCGTCAGCAGCAACAAGCACATTATTATCAAAGTACAACACTAGCTGAAAGATATTTCGACGATTTGGTTAGATGGTTTGGAGTGTTTACAGGCACCGATGCTAACAATCTTACAACGTTAACAAATAGGAATAGTAACGGTAGCAATCCTGATAGTGATATTATTCGACACACAGAAGATGAAGGTAAACTTGTAGTTGATTTTTTAGTATGTTAATTTACATAGCCAATATAAATAAATACTGTCTAATCTGTGTATCATTCTTCTAACTTCCGTTTCAATTTACAGTTTTAGGAGAAAAGAAATATTATAATCTATACAATAAAGCCTTGAATAATTGCTACTGCTTTAATGATTTGATACATGGTAAGTTTATTGGCCCACCTAGTATTGGCAAATCATCTATTGCGAAAGTGTTTACTCAACAAGAATCAAACAAGAATAAACCTCCAGATAAAGTTGTTAATCATTCTGATGGCATATTGAAAACTGAATTCAATCAATTTTATTGTCTTCAAAATTCAAAGACATATAATTTTACTGAGGTGTTAGATGATAAAATCAAGACCGCTATAAGAGAATTTTCCGTAGCAGAGCTAGAAAGTCAACAAAATAACGACATGCAAAAATCAAATAAAAGTCAACAAGATCAGCTAACAATGGCAGATAATCTATCTTTAACCATTGTAAAGGATGACGATAAGCAGTCTTCTATGAGTAGTGATAATATAGCAGATGCTTCTAATAAGACTGAGTCTAAATTTAGTTTTGCAGAATCTTATGCGCCTAGAATAAACGAAAATAAAGACAAATTTGAAGATAATCAATATGTGAAAGTATGGGATTTCAGTGATCCAGCTATTTACCACGTTTGTCAATATCTATTTAGGTCTTCCAATAGTATTTATTTTCTTGTATTTAGTATTGAGCAAGGTGTCAAAGATCTAGTTAAGACAAGAGAAGGGCAATTACTCAATATGACCTATTCGCAAGCTATTCAAGAATTGCTGGTATCAATAATATGTTACCACAGCAGTCGAAACCAAGTTTACGTTAATATTGATGACAGGGATGCAGAATTTTCCTTACCTATCATTATTCTGGTAGCTTCTCACAGTGATTGTACAACAGAAGTGAAGAACGAAATCGTCGATATGATGAGTATGTCGATGAATTGATCTCTTCTATGCCGTCTTATACGAGCAGCATCTACTCTTCTAATATTATTTTCAATTGCAATCTTAATGATAGCAGTCCATCAGCAGTAGATCAGCGCCGAGAATGTTGCAATCGTTTACATCATATTATTAAGACATTTTCGTTTTCATTACAATTTATTCATGAACCATTTCCTTTTCGACGATATATTATGGCTACAATACTGAATAAATGTATCCGTAGTCATCATAATCAAGGCATGTCTTCTATTATTAACCAAATTCAAGACACTCAAGTACGTAATATTATGACTATGCAACAAATAGTAACCTTATCACAAGAATGTGGATTATATGACAGTTATGATGAATTGAGAGCAGTGCTAATGTATCTACACGAATTAGGAGAGGTAATCTACTGTGATAAAATAGGCGATAACGGGATGGTTATAACTAATGTCGACTGGTTATTAAATATATTTCGTGCCATTATTCAATTAAAAGATCATCGACAAGGAAGTCTACAAGCAAAGCAAGATTATAATATAGCCTATAAAACAGGAAAATTATCAAGAAGATACGTTGATAACGCCCTTAATCGATTTAATTTAGATGAAAATAGTAAGGAAATTATATTGCAACTCATGGAATCTTATGATATCCTATTTTGTATTAGAAATGAACTGGATGATACTACAGAAGAGTGGCAATATTTTGTTCCATACTTGTTACCACGTAATGTTAAGCCCTTTGATTTGCGTAAATATCATGCCTCAGATTGGCTTTACATCGGATACGAGAAAGGAGATATTCCATATGGAATTTATCACAGCCTGCTATCATCTTGTTTAATACAATGGAATAACAAGGTTGTAGAATTATATTATCAATGCGCTAAATATTATTTAGCAAATGATGATCATTACCTGATAATTAAGAAAGAAGGGCCTTACATTGGTTTACAATATTGCTATCAGAAAATCAATCAGCTGGACATTGGTAAATTGGTGATCGACAAAGTTAAGAATTCTATATTTAACAAGCGGCCGCACGATATTGTCAAGAATAAGCTTATCTCCATTGTGGATAAAAGGATGATAAAATTTCAAGGGGCTCGTTGCCGATTTTACGTTAAATGTAACGAGTGTAATGAAGAAATAAGTATAGCCGAAGAATATAGAGAAGAAGACAGCAATTGGATTCGATGCGAGTATTGTACTCAGCAATTTGCTAGTCAATCTCTCCACGATTGGATGATTTATAATAAAGAGTTATCGATAGGTAAGGATATAAAATCAGCCAGTAGCTTTGTTATTGCCACGTCTTTTTTTACCGTCATGTATCTGACAAGAGCGCTAGCCTAAGTTATTCGTAATATCAAGTGTTCGATGGTTAAAACGTTTCCTACACACTACAATAAGATTATTACAACATCACCTTTGCTTAATCTGTAGCAAAACACTAATGCAATCGAGCTCAATCACATCCGAGATTAAGTAGAGTGGCAATGATCTCCATCTTAATTTAGTTCTCAAGTTGCAATAATTATTGTACAATCTATAATAGTTGATGAAGTGGTAGTATTTACTAATTATAATTTATATATATTTCTTATTAATAATAAATAGATAGCAATCTTTCGGTATAGCCAGTTCATCTATTATAGTCTGTTTACTTGGCAATATAGAACTCATTGAATTTTTTCCGCAATTGCTTTGTAACATCAAAAGTATTCATTACCATCAGAAGTATGAGAATGTTCTTAATTTTAGATCGTAGCTAATCAGTTCCATAGCTTTATAGGACACGCATATATAGAGGTTTTAGAGCGCATAAATAGAGAAAGAGGAAGAGAGCATTCTCTGTAAACCGTTTCTAGGTGTACATTTCATTTTACTGTGCATCACTTTTACTATTTGCTTCAATTCAACTACCATAGAACTGCCAATTTATTATTCCTATTCTTTATTTCATTCCTTTAGAGCGATGGATAGATGTGAGAGATGACGGTAAGTGTCAATTAAACCGTTTTCTATTCATAATTATAGTAATTAATTTGCCCATTTAATTATAATAGTGACTAGAAGTGATTATTATGTATGATATTATCGCACAAAGTTCTGCTAGCTAATTAGAATGCCAACGAATATTTCAGATTATAATTAGAACATATAAACTACTACTCCACTACTTTACTTGCGAGTATCCAACAATACGTGAAATGAATTAGGTTAAATTAAAACAAATGTATCCACATTTAAATCATGTGGTACTTCCTTATATTATTGAGTCATATTGATAGCACACAGCTGGGTATGCGGGTTCGGCTAGTCCATGATAAGATAATTTCAATTAGTAATTTTAAGATGACGTATGTGGTAATATATTCATTCGTGCCTTATAGATCCTAGAAACTATTTTCACTCGATCGCTAGTTGTGTTGGTATAGACTGGACAAAATTAGCTACAGTCCTAGATCCAACAATTGATACTGAGGTTATCGAAGCAAAACATCGTGGTCATACCTATAACAGTGCCATCCAATCGCTTAATCAGTGGTACAGAAGGAAATACCCAAATGCTACTCTTAATCTATTGCGGAACGCTTTGGAAACGATTGACAGAAATGATATTATTATCCCAAAAGAACAAAATTCCTAGAGGACTAATCTTCTTTCGTCTACTATAGTGTAGATTCTAATTTATTGATGGTCTATTTGTGCTTATTTGCATTTTTTCAAGATCAAAATAATTAGCGTTATAAGAAAATAATGTTTTATTTCGCCTTGATTGAAATAAACCAACAATTTAATGGACAATATTAGCAATGCTTAATGTGATTGATTTCAATCTTTCAGCTTTGCCATCACAATCACGTTTTGTGTAAGAATCTGCTGATGTAAAAATTAAGTTTTTAACATTTTATTCCTGTGCACAACGAAATGACGACATTATAAGCATCATAAATTTACTTTAAATACTTATGAAGCACTCACAAATTGCTGGTGAAGGATAAACATTTATAATTGTAAAGTATTCTAAATTGTATCTTAATTACGGTTTCTATTCATTTTTGCTTGTACTAATCGTGAGTTAAACTTGTTCATGCTGTACTATTTTATGCAAAGTGGCGTTGTTTCAGACGGTAAAATTAACCTACTTTTATGAAAGTCATAAAGATCCTGACAATAAAGAAATCGTTTGCTATAATGAATTGTAAGAAGAGCTAGTTAATTGCCAGTTATCGACTGTGAATAGCTTCTAGTCATGATTGCTACGAAGTACGAAATTAAGACGAAATTGCTTTACTGTATTTGAACTTTCCATCTCACTCCAGGCTTGTCCTGCCAATTTGTACGACATTTCATCAAGACAGTATGAGCTAAAACGAGCAAAAGACTCTTGAATAATTTGAGTAAATGGAAGATCAAATGAATAAAATCAAGTAGAATCCGTTTATGGTTCGTTTAAAATTGCACCATTGGCACCTTTCCTGTAATCGTCGAGCGCCACTGCTCATGGAGTGGGTACAACCTTTGTTGCTATTACCCAAGTTTGACAAGCTACTCTAGTACTCCTCATGGAGAAATTGATTAGTCTTGTACAGTAAACGGACAGTTTATAAGCTAAAATACATTAGTGTACTGCATCAAATCGCAGTTTCGATAGCATATCAGCTTCCACGAGAATGCTCCTGTCTTGATTATTTTAGACGAGTTAGTACTTGGTACAAGATGGTAGTACAGCTAGTGCACCTGTAAAATGTCATCACCTGTTTTAACCAGAGTTGAGCAAGTTACCCTGATATTACCAGTTAACTGCTCAATATTGGTTTTGAACTTATTGCATTGGTATCAACTTCATGTAGAAACAGTTTAGGAAGCTTTAAGAAGTAGTTTACTTAAAATTACATAGTACAGCGTGGAGACTGTCCAAATTCTCTGTTCCATTTTGCACTGTGCAGCATTTTTAGAGCTGAGATTGGTATATTATTTTGACTAGAAATAATTTGTAAGCATGCATGTATAGCATAGACTTGGCAATTCTCCTCCATGTAGTTGATGAAAGTACTAACCATGTCCATTTTAGCTCTATCGTCTGAAGCCAACATTAGCGTGCCTTCGACATCTATGTTAAAGTAGTGCAAATTAGTGCATACGAGAAGTAAGCGTAGATGATTCTTTTTATGTTACATCTTTTAGCCTCCTTGAATTAATATGAAGATTGTTCTTCCGATAGCAGAAATTACTGTTGGCCACTGTTTAATTGGCGATCATCATCGACGATGAGTCCAATAACTAAGCCATCTTGCTGAATCGCTTGATATCATCTTCATCGTGCGCTACTGTATTCCGTTGATTTTTTACTGTCATTTGTCAAACAGTTTATAAAAGTATACTAAATATTTTCTTTAAACGGCGTATATTAACAACTCATTGATTGTTAATTATTGAATAAAATTAAGGTAGTAATCATGTAGGATTGCTATGGATTTGCAGTACTTCCAGTATGTATGAAGGATTGCATCTTGTATCGATAGCATGCAATTTGCAATCAGGCCAAACAGTACTCACGCCAATCCTGTCAGATTTTAATTTGATCTTACTTTACTCTACTTCGATCATAAAATACTTCTCTTGTTTGTTGAAAGCTATTAAGGTATGCTCGTAGAAATGATTACCTATCCTTGAGAATGAGTTCTGTGAGCATAGATCAAAGCTGAACTTGTTGACTAAGAATCTTCTTTGGCGCGAGAATGCAGCGAGCGTAAGTGCTGAGAGGATAGTGCCCTGTTGTACTGCAATGCCTGTAATAGAAGAAAATGGATAAGGATTATATGTCAACTATCCTTACTTAGAGAGAACGATATTTTGTTGGTAACTTGTATCTACCCATGCAATAGTTCATTGGCATGATGCCAATGAACTTTTGCAAATAACATGATTGACGGCTTACTAAGCTAACAAGACATAGAAATTTAGTAGGGAAGATACTCGTAGGTTAATCTTAAACTCGTATTTAATAAAACTAATACAAATTAGAGCTGTTTTAATTTCATAAGGTCTTATGACTATGCACAAGTCATTGCAAAGAAACCTAATTTTATTTAAAAATAACATAAATTTGCCGCTAATTGTAGCCCTTTACCAATATTTAGTTGTCCCACTGTACATTTTGGAACATGATTCGTGTCGAAGGTAGAATGAGAAGTAACCCACTAAAAAAATCGTATAGGAATAAAGTGCATTATACTCATGCGCTGCATAAAGTAGCGGTATTGCAATAATTATTTGGTATGGATATTTAGTTTTCGATTAGGGTTACCAAGACTGAATAGAACGGAATGAGGAATATTTCTTATCAACAAAATACGATCGTAGAAATATGTCCTTAAATTAATTTTTGCAAACGAGAGCCGCAGCTCATAACAAGCCTTATACAAATACACCTACTAAAAAGCATTTTATAGAATCCTACTAAGATGATTGTATATGAACTTTAGTATCTTTTCTCTGTTCTGTATAGATATTTTAACGTATATATTAATAATTCAGAATTACAATTAAACGATATTTAAGGCTATTACCCATTTTGGTGGACGCTTACGGTGCATCTAGCTTATGCAGAGAGAGCCCACATATTTAAGTAATCAACAAGTGTCTATCATGGATAATGTAGAAATTTAAAGGTCAGTAGTTCAGTCAATGGTCAGCCTCGAGAGCTTTGAGTATACATTCAATTTTTCGTCAATAGATTGAATTAAGTAGTTTAATTTAGGCGTCGCCATTAGATCATAATATAGCGATATAAACTATATACTAAAGAGAGGAGTACCTGTACGCGGTACAGCAATATAATATAGAGGACCTAGCAAAGCATAAGTTAATTAATAAAACCCTAATTTAATGGTGCAGTTACTATAGCAACCTTTATCCGTCAGCTATTACATCATCCACATGAGACTAAAGAGTAAAAGCGCGGCATGGCCGCAGGTTCAACTGGGATTTGTAGCCAAGCAAGCTTCATGGTTATCAGTAGTGCCCTTCCTCATGCAGGACTTTGCAAGGACTACTTATAGGTACGAAATAACCAATGAGTTAGTAGTCTGTAATCGCTGATCAAAGCGTGTATTTAGTGTATATGCAGTTGGATAGAGCTGTTTAGCCGAGTAGAGTTTTATGTCACCTGTCGATTCTCTTTTTATCCACTTGCTCCTGTTTGCAATAAGCAACGCGCAGTCGGATTGATAGGATTAAATCGACGTCCCAGCAAAATCATCAAGTTGTTATTAGCCGATTTTTAAAACATCTATTGGTAAGTGACCTATTCCGTTTGGGTATCCATCATTATACAGTACATTGTATTTCAAGTAAAAATAGAAATTATAGATAGGTAAACGACTCCAACGAAACTATATTACAAGCATCCTTTCTTATTTTGCACTATCATTGATGTGGCTAGCATTCATTTGCTATTGTCTATTAGAATAAAACGATTGCTGTTGGATGGTTATTATGATTACGAGTATAATCTGTTTGTAAGATGGAGTGCATTTTGTTAATGTACACGTCAATTAGTCTACTCCTTGGACTTTGTTTGGTATTGATTGATGTCAGCACACGAATGTCCGATAGCGTTGTCTTCAGTAATCATTGACAGAGATTGATTGAATGATTTTCGGATAATCTTCCATGCGAAATTGATAGACGATATTGTAGAAGTTGATTTGTTGATGCTTGAAAATTGTGTATAATGGAATAATTGATGTTGTTCTGTTGAACTACGACTAGCACGCAAGTACAACCATTCCGACATAACCTCATGAATACGCAGAGATAATATCGATCCGATGATTAGTCATTCATGGTTGCAACGAAGCTTGATTTCAATCTTATTTGTCTCTAACCTGTCGTTCAAGTCTTTCACTAACATACTTTTGAATTGAGTGAAGGAAAAGATGGCTGATGATGAATCTGTCTCTTCCACGAGTGTGCTTCCTCACCATACCCGTATACAATCACTGTACGAAAAGGGCAACTCGTGCAAGGCTGCCTTCCAGTTGGTGGACGGACTATCTTGTTATACACAAGCTGTCGATGCGATTGCTTCGTTGTCGAATCCTAGTGCGGATATTGATCGACTTGCATGCGATATTTATCTTGGTCTTTGTGACATTTACACTTTACAATATCAATTCAAGGAAGCTGTTGAATGGAGTGAAAAGGGACAAACTGTGGCTACTAAACTGCAAGATGAAGTGAGCATGGCTCAATGTTTACAAAGAGAAAGCGAGATTAAGAGATGCCAAGAAGATTTCAACGGAGCACTGCAAGACGGTAAGAAATCGTTGGAAATGAAATTAAAATGGTTAAACGAAAAGGATGCTCGTCTTGCCGATAGTTATCATCAAATTGGGCGCCTCTACGGGGACTTGTGCAAGTACGATCAGGCTATGGATATGCATAACAAGTCACTGCAAATTCGATTGGCAGTCCTTGGTCACAATCATCCCCATGTTGCGTGGTCATACAATAACATAGGAGTTGTCTATCATCGCCAAGGCAAGATCGATCAGGCTGTGGAGATGCATAACAAGTCACTGCAAATTCGATTGGCAGTCCTTGGTCACAATCATCCTGATGTTGCGTGGTCATACAATAACATAGGAGTTGTCTATCATCGCCAAGGCAAGATCGATCAGGCTGTGGATATGTATGACAAGTCGCTGCAAATTCGATTGGCAGTTCTTGGTCACAATCATCCCCATGTTGCCAATTCATATAACAACATAGGAGTTATCTATCGTCACCAAGGCAAGTACGATCAGGCTGTGGATATGCATAACAAGTCACTGCAAATTGGATTGGCAGTCCTTGGTCACAATCATCCCCATGTTGCCAACTCATATTACAACATAGGATGTGTCTATCATGACCAACGCAAGTACGATCAGGCTATGGAGATGCATAACAAGTCACTGCAAATTCGATTGGCAGTCCTTGGTCACAATCATCCCCATGTTGCCAACTCATATTACAACATAGGATGTGTCTATCATGACCAACGCAAGTACGATCAGGCTATGGAGATGCATAACAAGTCACTGCAAATTCGATTGGCAGTCCTTGGTCACAATCATCCCCATGTTGCGCAGTCATATAACAGCATAGGATGTGTCTATTATCACCAAGGCAAGTACGATCAGGCTGTGGATATGTTGCACAAGTCACTGCAAATTGGATTGGCAGTCCTTGGTCACAATCATCCCCATGTTGCGTGGTCATATCACAGCATAGGATGTGTCTATCATGACCAACGCAAGTACGATCAGGCTATGGAGATGCATAACAAGTCACTGCAAATTGGATTGTCAGTCCTTGGTCACAATCATCCCCATGTTGCGCACTCATATCACAACATAGGATGTGTCTATCATGACCAAGGCAAGATCGATCAGGCTCTGGATAACTTTAACAAGTCACTGTATATCGCAACCTTAAGCGGAAATGATGGCCTAGTTACAATGACCAAAAAGAATATCGAAATCGCTCTCCGGCAGCAGAAATCGCCGACATCAATAGCGAGAAATTGGATCAAAAGTATCGTTGAACTATTTCAACCGAATCAAACCAACAACGTTACAGCGCCAGCAAATACTATCGACGGCAGTCACAACAATCAAGACGTACAAGAGAAAGGTAAGTGGAGTTTTAATACGGTAGTAGACAAGAGAGCGATGGATAACCGTAACCCTATTCTGTATTTTGTTGTTCTACAGCTTTGCAAGAAAAGAAATATTACAATGCATATAGCAAAGCATTAAAACATGGCCATTGCTTTAATCGTTTAATACGAGGCATGTTTATTGGCCCTCGCAATGTGGGCAAAACTTCTGTTCGAAAAATATTTACCAAGCAACCACTCAACAGTCCATCTCCAACACAAGTGGCTGAGAATTCGGATATTATGGTAGAGACTGAATATTATAATATTATGAACTTAGAGGGTTGTGATTGGACTGAAATACTAGACGATACAGTCACGACAGTCATACAAGACATAGCCCTAACAAGTATCGATAGTCGAGATAACATCATTCAGCAAGTAACCGACATGGATCCAATAGATCAACCCATTATAACCAATAATCCATCTGTGTCAAATGGGCAACAACACAGTGTCGATTCTTCTGCAACGAATATCGTTACGCAAGATGCAGCGATAGCAAGGACAGAGATTGCAATAGAACCACAGTCTAAACGAGACTTAGATCAATATTACTGTTCGTCCATGGAAAATCAAAATACAGAAAAAGACGATAAAAATCAGTATGTTAAAATATGGGATTTCGCAGGTCATGCCGTCTATCATCTTACTCATTATCCCTTTATCTCCGTCAATAGTATTTATATTTTAGTATTTAATATTAAGCAAGACATTAACGACAAGGTAACAACAAGGAACAACCAATCACTCAAAACGACGTATTTACAAGCTATGCAAGAATGGCTTACATCAATCATAGCTGGCCATACAAGCCAAAGTACCGTCGATGTGAGCATTAAAAGTGAAGACGGACAGGATTTACCACCTTCACAGCATTCATTACCTATTATTATTTTAGTAGCTTCTCATGGCGATTGTATTACCAATGAAGAAGATGGACGTACTCGATTTAATCAATTTGTGTCTACATTGACGTCTCACATGCCTTCTTATGCCAGTCATATCTATTCTTCTGGTATTATTTTTGATTGCAATCCTCTTGATAGTACTCCGTCGACACTGCAGCAGCGTCGACAATGTTGTCTTCGTTTACATGGTATCATTAAGGCATTTGTACAATCGCTGCCATTTATTACGAATCCTATACCTATTCGATGGTATATCATGGCTAGAATATTAAATAAATCGCTCCCTACTAACAGTAACAATCAACCCGCATCTTCTATTATCAATCAAATTAGATATTCTCAAGTGCAA